ATTTTAGTGTCGCTAACTGCAAAGGTCATTCACCTTTTCGTGCTCTGATTTTGTTAGAATATGACAATTTTTGCAATGCTAACACTATTTAATGCCTGAAACGATTGTTTTTCGTATTTATTTGTTTCTTTCCTGGTTTTGGTATTATTAAAAAATATTTACTACAGAAAATTCGATAGCTTCCAATTTTAGGAATTTCAATTAGCATAGCAACATAGTATAATGACTGTTCATTTCTTCCCTCTGCAGAAGCTTTGGTCATTTATAAATTTAAATTTTCCACAATCTTTTCATATAATTAACGTAAAGTGGTTCAACTTGTACCCAAAGTAATCACAAACCACTATCACTGCAATAAAACGTGCAACTGATATGGGATATTAATTTTTATTTTTGAAATACGCACAATTCACAACGATTACTTATACATTCAATCTATTAGATTGGTTTTGATTTTAAATCTAAACAAATCTATTCCTTTGATGAAGAAAAAGGTATTTGGAATAAAAAAAAAAATCTTTGTTATAATTATGGCATTCCAAAACGGTTTTTGAGAGAAAAGAGAGAAGGTCTGTGAAATAAGATTAATAATTGCAGTTATAATAAAAGTCGTTTAAACTGGATGTTATAAAGTGTGAACAAATCGATTAAGCTATCGGTTTAAACCAACATCAAACCACTATTTCAACACGCGCTAATAACTAAGCCTTTTAAAGTCGACGGCTCAAATCACGTTTGAAATACATGAGGTTGCGCGCCTTTAAATGAGATTAACAGCGACATTTTTCACAATCCGACGGTCGTGGGCTTAAAGTGTTTGCTCTACGATCACTCTGTCAAAACCATAATTTAAAACAGCTTAATGCTAATGGAACTTCTGCATTCGACCGTCCTAACAAATATAGGAACTAACTTTCTGTTTACTTTCGAAATACCATAATTTTATTTCCCCTATTTTTGTTTGTATTTTAAAAGAAAATCAAAATTATTTATTCCGAATTAGAGGCATTTAACTTTAAACAAGATCATTTAAACATCTGTCAAAAGAAAAAAACGAACTGTCAAACACTACTTTTTTACAATTCGCAATTTATCACAACGGACATTTTAACAAAATGCTTCTTCCATTGAATAAACCGACACACGATTGCGGATCTCTTTTTGTTTACACAACCGAAGCTCTCCCAATTTTATGCTCGTCCATTGAGTTCAAGTTCAAGAACGAATCTTGAATCGATTTACTTCGAGCCACACCGAAATTACTCGCAAAAACAGCATCTTAAATGGACACCAGCGATGAATAATGCATCCTGCAGCGGATACTTGGCTTTTTGCCGTTTGTTTTTTACATTTATTTGAAATTCAAAGCGACGCTACAGGCACTGTGGTAGATTACTTTACAAACGAAAATATAAATTATTTATTGTTTCAACACAATTCTCTCGGTAGATCAAATCGCAAAAAGTGAAAAAGTTCATCAAGATTCGAGTCTGAAGCGATTTGTTTTACATATTTATTGTTTACTGTTTAACAAAATTCATGTACCTTAAATAAAATTAAGCAAAAAGCATTATAGGGTTTTTATTATACTGAAAATTAATTAGAATTAATTAAGAATAATGTATTACAAGATTACGGTAAAACATGTTCAAACTGATATATTCCAATTTCAAACAACCGTAGGATTGACGGGCGACATCTTTGATCTGAATTGCAAATGAAGGCTCACAGTTTGATCACTTAAATGGTTTATTTATAAACGGCTATAGATCACTAGATCACATCGATTAAACTAATAAACCGTACGGTCCTGACAAACACGGAAGATTGGATCTGTACACAACATTTACATAAAGGGACGCCAAACCAAATAAATAACCTAATTCAATAGGTTATAAAATTCGATATGAACGCCTAAATTACGTAAACATTCATAACACAAACCATAGTTACGGACAATTGTATTTTTTTATATTTTTTGAGACAAAAAGAGAGGTCATAAATCACTGTCATACCAAGTTCCTTCACAACAGATTTTTAATTACATTCAAATGTCATATTAAGTCTTATGTATAAACATTTTACAAGTACGTTAACGAAGTTCTTGTAATAAAAAGCTGTCAATAGGTTTTAATTAAGACAAGTCCATAAACTGAAGTGAAGACTACTGCGCCGTCCCGCCACGTCAGTACGAGTACTAACGATGCCTACATTCCACTATCAAGATACCATTTCTTGTTCATTAATAAAATTGCAATTAAACGTAAAATTAAAAATCCTTCAATATGTGTATGTAATAAAATCGTGTAATATTAATTCCTGGCAGTAATACTAATTTTTTATTAATGGCTGCTTGAAATTTTTAATCTGCGTCATCGTTATTACGGATATAAAGCTGAAACATCAATTTTATTTTGATGACCGATTTTTTATGTTGCTTTTGTAAAAAGATTAATAAAACCTAGCAAGTATTAGTCATCATGCAAATAAAAGAAAACTATAAGAATTATTCGATAACGGTTAATGTTTCAAAACCGCACGTTCTCTCGCCTTGACCTTCGCGAATGCAAACATGGCTGCCTGAATGGCGCGAAAATAAAATAGAAAGATATTACTCGTGCTGCCACCGACGTCATTCTAAAGTAAATAATACAGATTTTAAAACTCTTTTTATTGCAGGGGGAATTACTTGAAATAACTTATGAACGTAATGATATCCGAAAACAAAAATTTTAGACCGAAAAACATTTGGCGGGAAAATTAACCATTTTGTAAAACATATATTCTTTTATCCTATTCATTAATTATTGAAGAATAAATAGAAAAGAAAGTTTATTTTCGTTTAGCATTTTCCTAATGTTTCATCAGGGGTTGCGCAACCACGGGCCGCAAACACGCTCCTTATCGCAGATAGTAGCCGTGAGATGAGGCACGTCGGCAAAAACCAACGTAAACGATAGCAAATTATATTGCTATCCTTATCAGATATCACATTTATTCTAATCACCATTATCAAAACGACTGAAACTGCACTAGTAAGAAAATTGCGAATTTCTTTTAATTTAGACGCTATAGATTGCCTTTTAGTACAGAGAAACTTGAATCAAAATTACTTTGATCCTCTTTTGTTTTTTCTCTAAATTCAAATTAAAAAATACTCACCACAACGAGTTTTATTCTAAAAATAAATCAACAATAAAAAAACTTGCTATAAAAACTGAGTATAATCTTGCCGCTTTTTCTTATCGGCTATATCTATTTTCATTCGAGACGCGTTAATTACTTCCATATCGGATATAAAGGCTACGTCACAATGATAATTTGCAACGCAAACGCTCGTGCGATTTCTACAAACATATATATGACAGTAACACACGAGGATAAGAGTGAAATAGATCAGAAAACATTGCAGTATTGCTACATTCGAAGTAAGTGTTGAAGCAGTACTGTATTAACTGCTCTGTCTGACTATTCCGCCCTCGTGTGTACCTCGCATTACAATTTACAAACACTACGTAAAGCATACGTGAGTGCGAAAATGACGCGAACACCAAAGACCTACTCACACGCCGCGTTATGGCGCTAAAATATCTGATTTAAATTGTAAACAGTTTCATCATTTAATTTAACATAAAGGTCAATGGCACGCAATAAATTATTACTTCCACAAATATTACGTACTATATGTTCAGGTGCTATTTACTTATGATGTTAATAACGTGATCCCAAAAAAAAAACAAAATAGTTTGCTGTAGTTTTGAGGTTAGATTTTTTCGACGAGACGATGGGGACATAAACCAGAAAGTGTTAAGACGTTAGCTATAAAAGAAGAGGAAGACCGAAGAAAGCATGGATGGATTGTGTGAAAGAGGATATGCTTAAGAAAGGAGTGGATTCAGATATGACGGCTGATAGAAATGTATGGAAGAGCAGCACGTAATGTGCCGACCCTCCGTAAGGGATAAGGGGCAGTAGATGATGATGATTATGATGAGGTTAGATTTTTTATTTCCCTAGATTCTAACTTAAGTATGTAACTTTAAATAAACTTTATGATAGTTTTAAATGAAAACGCATCTTAAGCTAACAACGATAAACACCAATTGTTTTCTAACGAGTTATTCATCGTGTTCTGTAACCCACATCTCGCATTCAGGTCATATTTAACACGATAAATCATCACCAATATTTACTCTCGACTCTACCCGCGTGAATTAAAAAAAAAAACAAAAGCAAGTTGTCTATGTGTCCTTCCACACCACGATGTACGTCTATGCCAAATTTCATCGAGATCCGTTCAGCTGTTTAGGTTACATACTCTAACAAACATCCATCCATCTGAACTTTTGCATTTATAATATTAGTTTGAAGTATGATTTATTTTATTGATTATTTTCGTCTATTGCAAATTTCGTATCATATTTGACTCTTTATACCTTGATGTCCTTGAAACAGTTCTGAATTATATATTCCCCGTATCTATTACATAATGAGTGTTGCGTATGTTATGGATTTACAGACACTTCCCATTAATATTTCCTCATTCTGTTGTAAATCTTCCGCTTCCTATTTAGTTAAATTGTGAAACATTTACTAAATAATAATTGACAAGTTTTGAGATAAGAATTTTCGTGGTTGTGTTCGATTTGGTGTCATTAATTCGTGTTGTAAATTGACATTTTTTTTTTATATGTAATCATAATTATCAACGTTTTCTGAATGGCACTAATGTATACTAATAAATCGAGCGTGCTCAGCCAATGTACATTTGTGTACATGTATTATAAAATTAATTTAAGAAATCAAGTGCAAATTGCTGTCTTCGCGCCGCTGTAAACATCAATTCACGATTAGTAAACATATTTATGCATATCACGCAAGGTATTATCAAGTTAATAAATGTGTAATGTAACCTAAAAAGTTTGCAAATTCTATTTAGCCGATTATTAGATAGAAAAAATTATGTATGTTTATATTTTATATGTTGTATATTGTTGCAGCATAGCAACAAGGACGCCGCAGCCGCTGCATATTTCTCTGGCACTGCTGGTGATAGCAGCATGGCTTCTAAGGCCAGGCCCCGCTGCTAGCTTGCGTGGCTGGCGCGCGCTCTACGTCGCCGCCGTTGCCACGCATCTCGGCGCGCAGATATGGATGACACTTATCTCTGGTTAGTAAACTATTATAGTGTTTTTATTAGCTAAGTGTTCTTACGTTTTTTTTTAATAACTAAAGGCCTCCTTTCCTACAATCTTCTTACGCAGCGTTAACTAGTGTTTACGTTGTCATGTCTGTTCGTCGACTTTTGATCTTTGACTGTAGTTTATTTTTATGAACTTTTACGTAAGTCAAAGTTCTTTTTCACCAAACTATCATGTCTTACAAGTGTGTAGGCGGGTGTCGCGACGTCTTCATTGACTATGTCGAAGAAAAAGATTGCCAAATTTTATTTTTAAAGTTTTCTTTTTCGATCTATTTTTACTACGTCAAATAAGAAGCTTGGTTTATGCCATACATTTACGCCAATGGTGGTAAAATCTGAATCTATCAACACATATAAAATGCACCTGTTTTAAGTAAAAAGTAAGCAGACTTAATTATGCTTGTCGGTCATCGTCCTGGCGTGCAATAGCCCTTGCCCTTGGCCAATTCTCAGAACAAGGGAATACAAAAAACAGGAATTGCATCTCATACGAGAACTCACCGATAATGCGATGTGTATGTATGGGTTTTTCTCTTTGATTTTTTTCCGGTATGTAATTTACAATTTCCATTGTTGTCCACTTTTATACAAGATATTACATTTGATTCGAACATATTCTGGGTTAAAATCCAGCTATGTACAAATGTGTTGTTCGATTTATGAATTTAATATAACTAACCCGACTCTTACGGTGAAGGGAAACATCGTTATGCAAACTACACATGGAGAAGAAATTTAGAAATACGTGTGAAGTCAACCCGCTTAGATAGGCTCGGAACCCTTCGATAGGGACGTATAGTAGTGAGCTAGTGTTGTTAATGTTAATTTACTTGATTTTTACAATAAAAGTACTTTTAAGATCATGTATCTAAATAGACGATAAGAGTGAATCATTAACAATTAATTTCAAATACTTTTGTCCCATTAACCGTTCGATAAGGTGAAGCACACAACACAACTGACAAGAGGATTGTTGACCTAATTCCGAAGGCGATTAGGAAATCGGTGTACAAACATCTATAAAGTTAACATACGCCACACTTTTCCTGTTTACTTTTCAATTGAAAAGTATGCGTAATGCAAACGGTAAACATTATTTTTTTCTCACACACTACCAGTTTTTTTCATTAGAAACTTGACCGAAGTGAAGACAAATGTTTTTTAGAACTTCTTTAAATATTATTTTAGAACACCCTATATATATCCAATAAACTATCCTGTAGTACACATATTTCCCCTCCTTGTTGAAGAAGGTATTAAAAAGGGTCGAAGCAATTATGGGTTTAAAAATAGCATAAGAGAACCCTTCATACAAGTCATTAAAGGATTCAGACTAAGACAACTTTCCACCCCATGAATTAATTGAAGTGGTAAAAACCTCTCATGCGACAAATTCACATCTCAGTTCCACCTCACGTCCTTGTACAATTAATTCCAATATTTTATTAAGAATTCCATTACGTTTTTGTTTGAAATTCATCGCAACAGCGGGAACAGATCGAATCTTACTACATTTGGTCTGCAGGCGCAGTGGAGTTTAAAATTCCATCCGGGATGATGTAATGAGTAATGACATGATTGTTTTCCGGTTATGTATTTAAATATGAACGAAGAGGAATGTGCGGCTGCATTGTTCTTATATTTCGGCACGAGACATATACAATTGTTTTCACAACTTCATATGTTGTGTTTTAAAAATTGAATCACTCTTTTGTTCCATATTAAAAACTTTCACTAAAACTTTGCGAAATAAATAAATTACCCGAGCTTTTTATCTTTGCTTTTCAATTATCGTAATTACAAAAAAAGGAAGTATGTATAAAATAAACATTTTAATTTCTTATATTTATCCGACAATCGAGGCTTTTACGTTTAATATTTAAAAGGTTAAATGAATTAAATTTTTTTACAAATTACCAACATTTTTTTTATTTAATTAAACAAACTGGTTTCTCAATTAATATTTAATATCACATATTTCGGCAATCTTACTCCTTAAGTCATAGCCGACTTGTTTAAAATTAAAAATTAATTTTGTCAAAAAAATTAACAACCTCTGCATCATTACTTACATTCCTAACAGCTAATTATATACATTATCATGAGTTTTGTTTAAAGGTCACCTAACATCGAATTTTACAACATACTGTATAAGGTATATATACAGTATGTTGTACAAACATTAGTAATAGACGAACGTTGATTCCGATCTTACTCTCGGTCGGTGTCCCAATTCTCTGATTGCTAGCGGTTGTGACAATTGACGGACGCTATATGACACTCTTCCGGGACCTACTGATTTGACCTTTGAAAACGAACCGTTTGATATTTGACATCAATACAAATGAATTATAGCAACGATACTTTTTATCTTTATAAATTATCAAAACAAAGGAAAGGAGGCACTTAATATTTCTTAAAAATACTTCATCTTGTCACTTCTTCTATCAATGCTTCCGTAAAGACTAGTAACATAACTGGACCTCATATGGAATCCACTGCCTAATTTCATCTATTCTATCCAACTGCTACCAAATAAAACCTTCAATGTATAACTTCACTTTTAATTATTTTATTCCAGGTGTCGTCCTATACTTCTCGTTGCCCCGGCACGAGTTCGGCCGCGTACAGACGGTGCTGTTCCCCGTGTACTACGCGTTCAATGCGGTGGTGAGCCTGCTGGCCGTTCTCGCCTACTTCCGCACACAGACCCTCACACACTTCCAGCACACCTCCTGGGTACAGGTAAGATATGAAAACCAGTTCATTTATTTTGTTACGCGAATTCGTAGTTATAACTTTAGTTAGCTTAAGTTTAGCTAGCGTGATTTTATTCCCTTTGCCTTCCCACCTTTTTAACATGAACGGATATGAAGGAAAAGTGGATTTGACGGCGGAGGAGACGCATAGGAAGCGGAATTTGCCTGTTTATGTGCGGTTCTTCCGTCGATTAAGAGTAGGCAACGCATCTACAATACAGTCGTCTAGGCAGCGGTCGATTCGCCCGTTCGGCAAATACAGTTGGCCGCTTGCTCGTTTGCCACCTATTATTTAAAATAGCTTTATCTCGAAACGTCGAAAAAGAATGGTCTTCGCTTCGTCGATTGCAGAAGCGTGCCAATTTTGTAAAACGATTTGTAGTGTAAATAGTTGCGGTACTTACATATAACATTACAGTAGGTCATTCGCTACATCTTACAGGAGTTATAGCATTGTAGGCCTTGTGTATAAATTTAATAGCGTATCTGTTCATCATAAAGGTACATTACACAGCATTGTGTTTAAAGATATAAATAATATCGGACATTACGAGATATTTATATCACCATTTAAGTTCAAACAGAATTTTATTAACAATTATAATACAAGAATTCATAATAATGCAAGGGACCTGTGTTATATTTTTTAACTGTCAATAAATGTGTGCGACCTGCAACGTTAAAAATGGCGCCGAAGTTTTACCTTGCCCTTTTCTTTTTGACCTTAATCATTATTGCGAATTAAAATATTAACAAGTACGCTTAATGTAATCCATTATTGTATAATTAATAAGCAAGGTACTCGTAATATTTTAAAAAATATATACGTACTTCAATTTCTGATTTTTGAAACATTTTATAGTTTCTACTAAAACGTGGAAGGCTTATTCGTGGCACTAAAAATAAAATTATAACTAATTTTAAAAACATGAATTTAAATCACATCTGATTGTACGTTCAAATTACGGTATTAAAAAAACTTGGCAAAATGTCCACCATTTGCAGTGGCCATAACCTCTCCGTCCGCCTGCCAAAATATCCGTTACAGTTATTTTGTCATGTAAGCAAAAATAACTCACTATACTTTACTGCTAATCTTAAAAATCGTTAGTCTAACATCTTTGGCCTTTTTAGTCTAAAGTCTGATAACCTAGAAGGTTATAAAGTTCATTAAACAACAACAAATACGATTACTATTTTTAAGGTTATATTTTATTCTATGACAAAATTGACGTGAACATTTTTAGCAACAGATCATCAACGCTGTTTTCGCGCGCAAAACCACTCTAACATTTGCAGTATCCCAAGGTTTCATTAGGAAGCTTTGAAGCTTAATAATAGGTATTAGTTTATCAAATTATTACGCTGTAATTCTTTTGATTGATGATTGCAACGGAAATGTAATTAGCGAGCTTTTATCATAACCCTTGACACACTTATTCTGTGAAATCATTCACAAGTTGTTAGTGTATTTATATAAAAAGATTTGCATTTTCACTACTTACATGATGACATAAATCAATATATCGAGCGCAATGTCTACACCTTTTTTATTTCGTGTGATTTTCTGTTGTTACAGTTAGCATTGCTGCTAGCCGTATTCAGTATAGAAGCGTACGTGCGCCTGCGTCTCGTGCAGCCCATGCTGCGCGCTAAGCACGTCAAGACACAGATGGAAGAGGCAGCGGGGGGCGGACAAGAGGTAATATAACACGAATTTTTAATATATATTTAAATATTTATGCTCTTTAAGCCATAAGTAAACATTATAACACACCAAGGCAATAAGCATTTTAAAAAAAGGCGCCAATCGAATCGTTTGACATTAACTGACAGCTAACCATAGATAAATGTCAACAGATGGTATTGCCTTTAACGAAAATAATAGTTTAATTTGTTTTTTTTTGTCCAGGTCGGTCGCCTTGTCATGGGCGAGCTGGCGCACTGTCCGCGCTACATTCGCGTCTTGAAGACCTTCCGTACCTACCATTCTACTATCGCAATGGGCACCATGATCGCCCTCGGCTGCTCCTGCTACTCCACCATGATCATAGTAGACTCAATGTGCCTGTAGAGCGCGACAACTAAACGAAACGTCCAATGTTTTATATATTTAAATCTTTGACGTTTACTCTGTGTTGTCTATGGATGTTTTAGTTAAGGAAAAATAACTCTATAGTGTTATTGTTTGTTTCTCATTGTGCGAAATGTACGATGTATGATGTATAAATATGACTTGGTTATTTTTCTTTTAACGTTTTCATCGAAGATTATATTATATTTATCTATTATTTGATATCTAGATGTTACGGAATTACTGGTGTAAAACAATGTAATTCTGTAACATCACCAAAATTATCAATTTATTGTTTAGATTCAACGCGTATTTCAAATGTAACATTTCTGTAAAATAGCTAAGGATGGTGAGATTGCATTTGTATTGCAGTTTAGTTCCAGTTCCGATCCAGGCTGTGAAGTCTGTTCTATTATATTTTAGCTAAATAATAGTTTTTCAACGTTTTCGATAAGTGTGATCTGCAGGCGCTGGTCGCGTGAATATTTCCGAATGAAATACGTGTTTTTCGAAGTAAAAATTGTATGATTGTGTTAATAATTGACATTTAATGCACATAATAGATAATTTATATAACCTATAATAATTCAATATTAAGTCCCTCGAATTTGGGTAGTATAAGGCATATATATTCTTGCCAATAATAGTATCTACTCATAACTTTTTGTATTTTTATAATATTACTTTGCAGCCGCAATCCATCGGTAATTAAAGCTGCTTGGTTACAAAAACGTGACAAATTCATGTCGCCCGCTGTCAGAATTCCTCCCAGGAATGCCATACAATTTAGTCTTAAAGATAGATATTAAGAATTTAGATATTACGCCGATAAGTAGAAGACTGGAATATACGATTATGGCAACACTAAAGCCACTTGTAACGCGTTCTGCGAAACCAAAGGAATTGTTAGACGTCGTTAACTTTACGTCTCGCGTTTAAATGAAACTCTCAAAGATCTCGTTGATTGCATTCATTGATTGTTGGTAGTTTTATTTCATGATTTTGCAGCAAGATCTAGTCAGCAATGAACGGAGATTGGTCGTAAAGTCGCGATATGATTCAGGAGATAATACGTACGATCAAGCAGCTTGCAGTCGCGGAAGTATTGTATTATATAAATTTAGCAATATTTAATCACTAGTTAGTACTTTATACCGATGATCTGAATGTTATCGTGTAAGATATCGTTATTTATTCGAGAGAATGATGAGAGTTTAATTAAGAGTTTTAAAATAAATAACTGTAATGAGTAATAGATTGTGTTGTTTTTTTATTTCATTGTGTGTTTCCTTACATATAATTCCCCTTATTTAATATTCAATTTCTACCTTCTAAAAACATTCGACCACAATAAAGGAATTCAAGTCTAGTAGCCATATTCGATATACTTGATGCAACTAATTAAAACTATTATTTTGAATTATAGAGACCAGTGGAATTCTAGTATTCATTAGTTCATTCTTCTAGTACAGATCAATTAAAATGCTATCACTATGTCATAAAATAGAAAAAGTAAAAAAATAGAATAGGGATCTGATTTATTTTAAAAAATAGAATGGTTGTTAAATATTAGAAATATCAAAAGTTCATTACTTTACTTTCAAATTACTACTCGTATAAAGTGAAGAGTGAACTCTTATTGTGTGTGGGAACGCTGTGTTTTTGTGAATCAAATCAAATTATCAAAGATACTAAACTTTTTATTAAAAGAAAAAATCTATTTTTAAAAGTGATCAGTAACCAATGTCATTACATTTTTAAATATGCATTTAAAAGATCTTTATTGTAAAATGCGTGAAATGTAACGCTGAAGTGCTGTTTGACAAGTGATGGCTTAATTTGACTTTGACATTAGTCCCATCTGTTATCTGTCAGAAATGTTCTTACGTGTTTGGATTGGATTTGCTTTTAATGATTTATTTGCAATTTACGATGAATTTTGAATTATGTACACAGTATTGCAAACCTATTGCTGCGATTAGGAAACTCCTCGCTGTTCTCAGTAACCATGTTATTGATAGGTAGGGCGCAGCAAACTGAAACGATGAAGTGCGTTCAGTGTAGTAAATTACACCCAAAAATGATTTTAGATCGATGTAAAACGGTGTTAATATTGTCCAGTGTAGTGTGCACGTTGGCAGTTGTAATTTCATTTCACAAGTTGCTCAACTATGAGGTAAAGTTAATAAAACCTTTCTCTCCTATACCAGAGGGTCTGTATGGAAATTATTTAGGACCAGTCTTCGATGAATCACCGACCCCGCCAGTCAAACGTGTTGACAAGGCTCGGGATGCGGAAGCGGTCGTATCTTTAAACGCCGCATTAGAAATGAAGAAAAATGGTAAGACTGATAAGGCGTTAAAACTCTTCCAGCACGCTTTTGCGCTGTCTCCAAAACACGCAGACATATTAAACCATTACGGTGAGTTTTTAGAGGATACAAAAAAAGATGTAGTTAAGGCAGATCAGTTGTATACATTAGCATTAACAAATTTCCCTGAGCACAGCGGTGCATTGTCAAATAGACAGCGTACAGCGAGCATTGTTGAAAACCTAGACAGAGAAATGTTACGTAAAATAGATGAAAAACGAGATGCGTTATTATCTATACCAGAAAATAATTCAGCATTAAGAAGGGCTAAAAAAGAGGCCTATTTCCAACATATTTATCATACAGTTGGCATAGAAGGGAACACAATGACCTTGCAGCAGACTCGGAGTGTGTTGGAGACAAGAATTGCAGTGGAAGGGAAGAGTATAGATGAGCACAATGAAATTCTAGGTCTGGATGCAGCTATGAAGTATATAAATTCTACATTACTGTATAGATTAAGAGAGATCACTATGGGAGATATTCTAGAAATACACAAAAGAGTCTTGGGACATGTAGATCCAATCGAAGGAGGTCATTTTAGAAGAACTCAAGTTTATGTTGGAGGCCACATACCTCCGGGACCATCAGAAATACTTAGCCTAATGAGACAGTTTCTTGACTGGCTAAACTCTGAAGATGCAATGGACTTGCATCCTGTTAGGTAAGTGTTTGCAATTATTTCCAAATGAAAGTAAAGTGACATTAAAACTTCCAATGTTAATAGTTTGGCAAAAGAATATTAACTGTTATTAGAAATCAAAACAGGACTATTTTCTGATTTAATAAATATGAAATTGACACTTCATTTCATATCATAAAATGCATGTTTATTTTACCATCTGACTGATTATATTCTATTTGCTATTTACTGTAAAACATTGAAGATGGCAAAAATCAAGCGCTTCTCGGACAATGCCTCTAGCATACAAACATGTCTCTATCATATTCTTTTAGCAAGATCATAACTTTCATCATTTGTTTTAAGGTATGCTGCTCTGGCACACTACAAATTGGTGCATATCCACCCATTCGTTGATGGAAACGGGCGCACGTCGCGGCTGCTGATGAACCTGCTGTTAATGCAGGCTGGCTTTCCACCCGTCATTGTAGTCAAGCAACACCGCCATCTTTACTACCAGCATCTACAAGCAGCCAACGAGGGTGATGTTAGACCATTTGTCAGGTTTGAAAATATTAAATAAATAATATATATACTTCAATATAAAGCAGCTTTCGCCTGCGATTCCATCCCCGTGGAATTAAATAAAACAAAAGTGAGTATCCGATGTGTACATCCAGACTATCCTCTATGTCTATGCCAAATTTTATCGAGATCCATTCAGTTTATGCTACAAACTCTAAGAGACATCCATCCATCAAAACTTTCGCATTTATATTAGTAAGATTAGTGAGATTGCAAAAATGTGGATGGTTGTTACTATTGGAGATACATAGGAGAACTTGGCTTGACCCTTAAATTTGGCACAGCTGTATAAAATAGTCAGGAAGAACATATAGGCAACTAATTAAGGTTTTTTTCATAATTTCGCTCGGACGGTGTTAGGGGTAAAAGCTAGTAAAAGTTATTCAAAATTATTTTTTCAAGTTTTACACTTCATTTACCATACATTTAAATGAAATATTTGATCATATATCCGATTTGCTTTATAGTATAAAATTTTCTATCCACATTTCTGTACAATCTTATTCTTGTATTTCAGATTCATAGCGCAATGCACGGAGCGTACTTTAAACCTGTACTTATGGGCTACGAGTGAGTACAGCCATACAGTACGTGCTATCGGAGAACCTCACATATTGTCCGGAGAGGGTTTAGAAGATGACCTCCTATGACCAGGTGCTATGGACAAGTAGATTGTATGAAGTCAAGTATGTTACTGTGAGAGTCTAAATAGAAGTATGTTTGTTGTTGTTCAGTTATTTTGAAAGTGATGGTTATCTTATTAATGCTTTGTGTAACGGACGAACACTGAAACAACAATTCTATAAGTAACAGTACTTTTAACGATAAAACCACACTTAAACTACAAAATCCAATAAAACTATGACGTCTGTCCGAATTTAAGGGTGGCTTTACTGTATAAGACGTTGCATATTTAAATGTCGATTCACTATTTGACCATAAATCAAATTGTTATATTTTAAGGGGTAAAGTTTCTTTTATCTGATTGTGAAAGTATGAAGATGCTTTTATTGGTTTTAGCCTGATTTTGTCAGTATTTGACATTTAAGGGTATAGAAATCATGTTAAGGTTTTAGGAATCAATGTCGATTAAAATGGTGACAAAGTCATGAAGTTTAATTAGTATTTTCTAAGAAATGTGTTACGAGGTTCTCTAAAATTGTTTAAATGTGTGGAAAATTCTACTATACTTTAGTTAACAAGGGTTACAATTAAGTAATTAATACAATCCGTATTATATTATTTATAACACGGCTAAAACTCACGTGGGAACTTTCGGTGTAGGCACCGACCAGTTTCAAACCCGTAGGGGGTCCTTCTTCAGGGTGAGTGGATGCCGGCTTTATTCGCTATCACGTCGTGACCGTCGCGACGCGATATGTTATAAATAATATAGTATAATGTCTCACGAAAGTTTAAACAAACAGTATTTGTTATAATAATCATGTACACCATACTTAAATTGAAAAAGAGAAATTGTAACTTATGGAACATAAGGGCTCGTCCCCACTGGCCTAGCCGGACTCTACCATGGTACATTTTTAATATCTTCCATCAATTGAATTATTAAATAGACATAAAATGTTTTATGCTACTTGCTACTAAAAAAATGTATATTGGACGATACTGCCTGCAGGCGGGCAGGAATCTTTGTAGCATGTTTAATTCAATGAAAAATTATACAAAAACGCATTTCAATGAAGTTTTGTCTTTAGGATTATTTCAATTATGTAATTTTTGTATGTAAAAATGTTTGGTTTTCTTTCATTTCGTAGTTTTGTAGGTGCTATTTCTCATTGTGTGGTAAATTGTCTGTATTTATTTAACAATTGTCCTACTGGACAGTGTTCTTTATATATTTATAGTAAATAGTAATAAACACATATATAAAAATGGTGGATTATTTGCTTTAAGGCACATTATTTATTTTAAATGTTGGTTTCTGCCTCAATTATTATTTTAACTTCATATAGACATGTGTATATAGAAATTATTCATGAATACTTATTCTAACCAAAGAAATTATTATTTAAATTTTATTTAAGTTCTCTTCAGTGTTGTAAATAATTTTTCAATTTGAATTTTTTATAACTATCAATATAATTAGTGTGAATTGTAGATATTTCATCAAGTTCATTTAAAGTATTCTAAAAGCGCACACCTTTGACTAAACTATCGCACAACCGTTCAGTCGCGCTTTTATTCCTATAATATGAAGATACATTACTCGATTTTAAATTGTGCAATTAAACAATTGAATTTGCGAAACAACCGACAATCGCACAACAGTTGGGCATAGTTTAGTCAAAAGTGTGCAACTAGTATACATGTATAAAATAATGTAGAAATTGTAAATCTTAATACACTGTGATACCTTATGTTATTTATTTCATTATCTGTAGTGTATTATATAGTGTATAGTTAAACAAGGATATCTGTATTGATGTGCTGCTAAAACTGATAGTTTCTAGAAAATGTGTATAACCTACGTGAGTGTAGAAAATTAAAAGAAAACGACATGACAGCTACAGTACGAAAGACACTTTTATGTTAACAAGATGGCGCAAGTGAGGTGACAATTTAATTTGACTTCCGCCCAACGGTTCAGATATCCTTGTTAGTCTATAGTTTGGAACTCACCATAAATAAGTATAAGTGGTGATATATAAAAATAGCAGGTGTTCCCGTTAAATTTACATTTAAATTCCATTTCCATTTATTTAATTTTACTGTCTTCCTAAATACTTTGTACTGTTTGTGCATTTTTGTTGATTCTAGTACAAAACCTTATCACATTTGAATAAAATGCTGCCAAGGAAAATATGTCTTATTTTTCGTTAAGACTTTTTGCGTCTATCAATTAGATTAAAAAAATTTGCAATCTCACGAAGGTTTTTTTGCATGATTTTTCTTCACATCGAATACAATGTAATAAAAGCAAATAAATAGATTTATTTTAAAATCCGTCAATTTAGCATTGAGAGAGGTGCCGGTGAAAAAATACTGTTCCCTTTGTAGTCATTGAATTTCTTAAATGTTTTGCCTCTACTTTTGGTTTTAAACCCTCAAATTCGTGATCTTTCATAACCTTAATAATAATAAAAAAATCTGGCATCCAAATTAATATTTTTTCTGTTAAACTGAAGGCGTGTAGCGAACATTATGAAATTTCATATAAAAGTTGTGGGTAAATAAAACAATGTATTTCGTCAATTTCGATTAATTTATTATAATGTGCGATGTTAAAATATGTTTTATTACAATAAAGCATTTCAACTAGGACGATCCGCCGCCGCGCCTCGCTCCTACGCTCCCTCCGCCGCAACATTCTCATACAAAACTAAATTCATTCCAAGGCAAGGACGAACTCTCATCGTATTAGTCGTATTACGTACGTATTATAATAGAGAGATTATCGTTCTGTGCAAACAGCGGCGCACGCAGCCGCAGCCCCTCTGATACAGAGGACCAATAACAAGCACTATCTAAACTTCACAAGCTGCAGTGTCCTGTGGACGGGGATACAGATGCCAGTAGCTGGCTTGCACGTACAAGCTACAGGCTTGTGTACGCTGTAAGTTGAAGGGGTATTTTCGTGTACTGGAATGTGCTAATGCATTTTACTGGCATGTGTATTCCCGCCCCTCCCTTCAACAACGTCAACTCCTTTTAAAAGGCAAGAACTCTTTTCGAACAATAATTTTCCGCACAATGAAATAGTTAAATCTTTGAATGTTTAAAAAACATCAATGGAATTGACGTTCGTGTCCGTTCGTGTTGAGGTCTCCACAGCTCGCTAGTTATAGGCACATTTTACTAACATTTAACATCGGCGCCATCTTTGAAATCAATGACATTTGCAAAACCATAAACAAGCTAGGCATAGAGCAGTCTTAAAATTTTTATTTCGTTAAATTACACAGCAAACAAAAATGGCCACAGAAATACTTGGCAGAATGAAATATTTGATATTTATATAAACATGCATTCACATCTGTATTCAAAAGTTTAGGGTATAAAAAGCAAATGATGCTATCTGAAAAACACTGGTAAATCACTAGAAAAATACTTGACAAATATCTCTAATTTGTAAAGTACTTTTCCAACATTATTAACTTTGAACATTTTTACAAAGTTTTTGTTTAACAAAGAAATTATTGATACAAAAGATATATGAGTGATTTGATATATAGTATATTAGAAAAAGAACTCTTTGAGGTTATAAAGACAACTAAACAGATGATATTCTACAACAAAAATTTCTTCATTAGCGAAATAGTCAAAGTTATCAAAATATGAATACACTTATTTGGGGTTTACATATTGTTTTGTTAATATGAGAAAATTAATTAAATTTACATACATATTTCGATTTAAAAGTGTATTTTTACATTTATATTTATACATCATGTGTAGAAATTTATTTCACCGGTGCGTAACAGCAAAGCAGTGATGTTGACAATTAAATGAATGTTCCTACTAAAGCAATTTAGAGTTTGTTAACCTCTCTAATATTATCACATTTGAATACTTTCTTATATTAACTCCCACTTTACTATTTAGTATTGATCACACTAATTCGTAACTGTAGATTTTAAAGTACATTTAAAGTCAAATTTTCCAAAAAAAAAAATGGCCGCCACATCCAAATGGGTACAAATAAAGCTCCAACAGTGTAGGTCCGACACAAACATCCTTCATTCAGTTAATATCTAACTTATTCTAAATCTAGATATACTAAGGACGTGTTCCGACTGCGTCTATACGGACCAGTTATTTATATAAAAAATGTGAAATCACCGCAAAAGTTAGGATACACACAAATTCTCTATTACGATGGATTTGCGATTAATTAAAAAACGTATATATCTTTATTTTATTCTAGCCGTGCGTTACAAACTTATATACCTCGTTTCAATTCAACGCTGAAATTTAAAAAAATGCATCTATATATCAAATTCCAATATGGCCGCCATTACAAGATTTCCTTTCTCTAGTTATATTGCGAAAATTATGAGACACAACACACAGACGTTATTGTAAAAGGTTATGTAATATTCTAGCTGTCGCCCGCGACTTCGACCACGCGGAATGAAAAAAAAAAGTTAATTATGGCCTGTGTTTTTCAATACTATGTTCTATATCTCAAAAAAATTTCAGCGAAATAAATTAAGCCGTTATGGAGATATGTAGTAATAAACATCCATCCATCCATTTTGCATTTAGAATATTAATAAGGTTTAAGATTGAAAAAGTCATCAGAATTAATTTGTAATTGTCGAGTTTATGAATTGTCTATGGTTAAGGCTTTGGATTGAAACAAGGCATATCAAAAGTTAGTACAAATATTAAACAAAGTCGACCTTCTAAATTGACTAAAAACATCAGAAGAACCGGGCCTTATCAAATAGGCCCACTATCAGGAAAGTGCAATTTAACAAGTTTTCGACGCAACTAAAACAATAATTTAAATATTGTTCGTTTCGTCTAACTTTACAATCTAAACACGAAGAATTCTTCAAGAGGAAATAATTCGCAAGTAAATTAGAATTTAATCGCGAATATTAAATTAACTCCGAGCAACAGTTTTAGCTAACAAACATATTTCTCACAATATAGTTTTGTATTACATCATTTTATGGAAAAGCGACAAAATCTCACAGCTAAATAACCTCTCAGGTATCTTTCATAAATCTCAACAATAGATAACAAGCGACTCGTAAAAGTAACACTTCAACAAATACATCGAATAAATCACAAGTACATTAATTCATTCTCACAACATTACGAGTATTGATTTGATATAAGGAATAATTTTTTTCATGAAAAAACAGACGCGCCGCAGTCGCTTTGTACTCAAACATTCACCAGCTAATTTAAAAAATATCTACAATTTGACAAATAGGCCTTTAGCGAAGTTAAATGCATTGGAGTTAGGAAATTAGGAAACACTTATAATGTTAAATATTTAATATGAAATATTTAAAAAAAAAATTGCGATAACATTGTTAAAGAAACATCGTCACACAGATTTACACAAAATTTTATATATAGGGCCTTATTTATTTAATAATCTATTAGTAGTTATTTACCTAACGAGAAACTTACAGACTGAACGGATTTGTTTATTAGACACGGCGACGTTTAAATCGATTTTTACAAACGATTCAATAACATCGATTACGCGCCGCATCCGACGACACTATTACATTTACATCTCTATAGGAAATATCGTCTCAGGAAATTCTTTGTCAAACAAAAAAACACGTCAAATCGAAGCGAGAACTACTCAAGTCCCCGAGTTACATTATCCGTTCCAGCAATCCAGTCACCAGTAGACCAGCTACATCAAGTCTTCTGACAGATTTGGAAATGTCACACAAACTCAGTCGGCACTAGAAGACTCGCAAGTCACGCTTTAAAACAGTTATAAAACAGTCCCCGTAACTACCTCGCGGTCCGTTCTGTTCGGATGACGGCGAAATTAGAAAAGCAATGGCGAATTTACAAATCGTGTTTAGAGCCGAGCGCGGGTTGCACGCGCGTGTTCTGTCAGTCACATGCGGCAATGTCAGTCACACGCGGGCGTTGTCAGTCACACACGTGTGTCGTCAGTCACACGCGCAGGCACCGTCAGCCGCGCTCGTAGGCCGAAACAAACTCACTAATTGTTCATACAAATTACCATTAACATAAAACCTATGCAAGAGAAATCAATAAATAAAGTAAGCGTAGCGTCAAGCCCTCGGAGCCGCGTCGCGCTACGCCCGGAGCTCGCACACCGGCGACGGGCGACGGGCGACTGGTGCCGGGCGACAGTTGCCAGGTGCCAGGCGGCAGGTGCCGGGCGACAGTTGGCAGGTGCCGGGCGCCAGTGGCAGACGGAGGGCGCGGCTAGTGGTGCCGCGGCTGGATGCGGCGCGACATGTGCTCCTCCTGCTGCATCTTGGCGCGGAACTTGGCGACGAGGTCGCGCGACTGCGCCAGCACCACCAGCTGCTCGTTCAGCAGCTCCTCCCACTGCGTCGCGTACGCTGCAACCGATATATACATACTTTTAGCATCCGATAAACATTTACGTGACTCCCGAAGTAAAGTTTATTTTCTTAATCAACAAAAACATTTTTAATTTATATTATTCTCATTTTTTTTAATTGCATAGTTTTTACTATTTGAAAGAAGCTTTATTATCACAGTTAAAACACAATCACTAAGTACACCCATACCATGTAAATCAATGTAAAAATATGTTTTTAATTGCCTTTGTTAATCAGTGTTTGCAATTACGCCTACATTATGTTAAGAGGCGAACTCGAAATCTTGTACAATTAATTTTAATTAACTTGAAAAATGTCAATTTCTTTAACGCTAAATTCCAAGCAGATAAATGAGTTAGCGTTGGCGTTGAGCGGGTTACGGCGACGGCGATGACGTTGGCGATGGCGATGGCGATAACAATCAGACCTAGTTTGTTCCACCACGTGTGGTGAGCGCGCGCCGCCCTCGCCCGCTTGCGCCACGGCGACAGCCCTGACCCGCACACGGACATGCGTTACACATACAACACACATACACAAGCCGGCTTACATTAAACGTGCAATGTGCTATAATAAAAAGAACATAAAGGGAATAGCAAGGATAACTAAAAAAGCGATACATTAAAAACAAGCTTAAATCTAAAAGCTACTAATTTTGACTAAAAATCTACTGAAAAACAATTCTAGTAGTGGTTCTATGGATTGTGCCAAATCGTTGTTCCAGATCAAAATTTGTTATTATTATAATTCTATCGTATTTACTAACATCATATATGATTAAATGAGAATTTGCATATTGTAATAAAAAATCAAAACCTGCCAATAGTCCTTTACAGACCACTTCCAAATAACGTATCAAATAAGACTTATACTTTATTACAAGTTAAACATAATTTAAGATTTGATATAACTTCTAAGTATAAGTACTATTGAGTTTACAACGACTTTTGGACTTGAACAACAATTTAGTTGAAACCATGGAAGCACTCATTACAACAAATGATGAAGGTACGACTTTTATTCATAAAAAGAACTCAAAATGTATGTATTTATGTAATTGCTTTTAAAGTCATGTTTACACAGGAGACTTGAGATGAGAGAGAAAGACTTGCTATCTCTTTTATTTTCATTATATTGCGACGAGTGTTGAATTAGTTGTATTCTTCTCGCGAAAATGGCGTTTATGACAAAAACTCAAAAATCATACATTTTGAGTTTATAATTTTTATGAATAAAGGTGCGATGTTTTGTGTAAGATGTGAGATGTCAGGAGATGTGAGATATTAGGGGATGTGAGATGTGAGGAGATGTGAGATGTCAGGAGATGTGAGATGTGAGGGGATGTGAGATGTAAGATGTGTGGAGATGTGAGATGTGAGGAGCGAGGCGAGGCTCACCGTCCTGGTCGTAGTCGACGTCGCGAGTGATGGCGAACAGCTGCGAGCAGCGCTGCAGCGCGTGCTGCAGGTAGTCCGCCACCGCCTTGTGGTTGTCCAGCACCTCCTCCTCCGCGCGCTGCAGCTCGTCTATCACCTCGTGGAACGTGAACATCTCCGCAGACATGTCGCCCTCCTGCATCACATCACCATTACACACTGTATCCAAAATACTCAAATCACTGCATTTACATAATACTAGTCGCCTGTTATTTTTTTGCAAAAAAATACGGATTTCCGTTATTAGCTATGCAAATACACGAAGTTCGGGAAAAATAGTTTTTTTTTTCGATATTACATACAGACACTCTAATTTTAATTTTCTGTATAGATTTCACAGCCTTACTATTGTATTTATTGTCTATGTATTTCGTATATTCTTTAAAGTATTTAAATTGATAATAAACACATATCTCTTTAGTGTGATTACATCGTTGTAAAGTTAAGAAATCTTTAGATCAGTATGTTGTAATGTTTCATTAAATATATTGTGTTGAATTGGACAATATGTAGGAGGTAGTAGGTAGTAGGTAAGAGGTAGGAGGTGTGAGGTGTGAGGTGTGTACTGACGTTGAGCGAGCGCAGCTGCGCCAGGTCGTGGCCGGGGGGCTCCATGTCGACGTCGGCCAGCGGGGACTCCGGCCGCCCGCGCGCGCCCTCCGCCGTGCCCAGCTCCTTCACTCTGCGCGTGCACAAACATAACACTGTGTTTCTACTCCATTTCAAATTACTGCTACGTTAATAATTGCGGTCCGTACACAGCCTGAAGCGTAGAATAGAGATTTTTATCGTAAATAAAAGTAATAAGACTAAAACGCGGATTTCTTAAACTTCCCAAAGCTAAAGTTAAATATAAACCTTGTTACAATCGCCATAAAGTTAAATTTAATTTGCATAAAAATCTGTTCTGCTCTAAACTCGAGTTTGTGTGATCGGACCCTCAATTTGAATGTGTACGTATTTATGTTGTTTTCATTGTTACATATAGTCTAAACGGCTAATGAAGAACGAAGTGTCATTCAATACCTGATCATTCAGAGTATCGGTCAGGAGTTGTACGATATGTGGTGTAAAGTGTAAAGTGTACAGTGTACAGTGTATTTTTTTATAGAGAGAAAAATGCTTTACAGCACCGTCAGGCATGGGAGCTACATGCCTGGTGTCATTTGTGTTCACTTAGCCTAGCATGACTCCCATTACCGACTAAATAACCCTCTCTATGGACTTGTTTGTACCCCCGCGGAACTACGGTCAAGTATCACTTATCACTTCGTAGGGGTATGGTGAATGGTGTACGGTGTAATGTGTAATGTGTAATGTGTAATGTGTAATGTGTAATGTGTAATGTGTAATATGTAATGTGTAATGTGTAATGTGTAGGGTGCAGGGTGTGCGGTGTATACCTGTCGGCGTATCTGAGCGTGTTGAGGGAGTGCTCGCAGGAGGACATGGCGGGGGAGATCATGGCGATCATGCAGGTGCGCGACTTGTCGCCGATGAAGCTGTCTCGGAGCACCTGCGTCAGCTTCGACACGCGGAAGGGCAGGTGGTTGTTGCCCTTCATGCCCAGCGCTCGGATGCACTCCTTCAGCGCCAGTAGCGATTTGTTTATCTCCGCGCTCTCCATACCTGAAAACCACATATCGCCGTTGAAATTCTAACACCACGTCAATCACTTTTTGGCTATTTTGATGCCATTCCCTAAAGGAATAGGAAGGAAGACGTACAGTTTGAGCCTATCAGACATAAATGTATCTATAATTAAGTATACAAAGAGTGTATAAGTAAATATTCTATATAACTAAATTCTACAGATTTTTCTCTCCTGAAAAACTGCTATTTACGATATTTATGATGTTACAACCTCAACGAAGATATACACACGCCATCTACTATATGTGTAACTTCACTACTTTGGCGAATTCAGATGCCCGTTGGCACGTTAACCGTCATACTAATATTAAAATTATAAATGCAAATGTTAGATGTATGGATGCAATCTCCAAAATGATTTAACGGTTCTCGATAAAATTTGTCACAGATGTAGAATATAGTTTGAAACATATAACATTATTGATCTAATATTATAAATGTGATAGTTTAAATGGGCGTTTGTTCTAGTTTGTATCCCAAACTGCTGAACGGATCTTGATGAAATTGGTCATAGATGTAGACGACAGTCTGAAAGAATACGTAAGATACTTTAGATCCCGGAAATACCTGTTATTCTTGTAGGATACACAGTTCTTAGTTTTTTTTTTGGTAATGTGGTGGGTTAGTAGACTAGTGATACATACGGGTCTGCCTGTTGGCGGAGGAGGTGTCGGCGCCGCGCTCGTTGCCGGCGAGGTCGATGAGCGAGAACTTGCCGTGCACGCGGTTCATGCCGGGGGAGCGCACCACTATTTGGAACACGGCGTGCGACCGCGACGAGTTAGAGTTCGCCGACGTCTGCCTCATACAGACAAACATTATAAAACGTTAACCTGATGCTGCACTAACATCTTTATGTAGATATCTTAACAATGGTAGAGCCAGTTGATATCTTGACATGAATAGACCTGTTCGCTTAATGCAATACCATGATCATACAGAATAAAGGCGTCAAGTGAGACAAAATCCACATTTCGATTGATAAGTGTGTGCCAAAGGTCCTATTTTAGTTCCATTTCTATTAAGTAAATAATGAGAAAAGAAATGAATTTAACCCTTATTTCAAAAGTATCCAGTGTGATAAACAAGTAATAAAAACATCTACTAAACTAGTCTATTTCATATACAAAACTATGATTTTACAAAAATAATCAGTTTTCTTGCTACAAAACGTCAAATTAACTGTTAACGGATGAGGAGACACATAGGAAAGAGAAATATCCTTTAAAATTAAGGGTAGGCACATGTGTTAGCAGACGTCTGGGTAGCGGTCGTTTCGCTTTTTCGGCGAATTCCCGTGATACAGACCTGTCCGGAGGTGCGCGCGGCGTTGCCGTGCTGTATGAGGCGCAGCACCTCGTCCACGCTGTCGACGCAGCGCTCCGTCAGCCCCACGATCTGCACCTGCTGCTTGCCGTCCTCCAGCACGCGCAGCTTCGCCTTGTCCGCCAGCAGGTCGAACACCTGCCACAACCACAACAACAACATACACTCACCTACCACAACGACAACATGAACTCACCTACCACAACGACAACATACACTTACCTGCCACAACAACATACACTTATCTGCCATAATCATTAAATACATACTAATATTATAAATGCAAAAGTTTAGATGGATGTTTGTTAGAGTTTGTAGCCTAACTGCTAAACTGATCTAGATGAAATTTGACATAGACATAGAGCATAATCTGGAAGAACACATAGACCATTCACTTTCGTTTTTTTTAATTGCACGCGGAGGAATTCGAGGGGCGTAGCTCTCATGTCCGACGGTGCCTAATAAATAGGCTTAAATAGTAATTTTAGAGTATCAATATACGCGTATGGAAGAAAACGAACCTTTCCTGAGTATATTTCGAAGAATGATGCGGAGACGATGAGATTAAGGGGCTTGTATTTAGGTGACTTGAGGTAGGAGAAGACGTCGCGCGCCGCCATCGCGTAGATTCCCTTCTTGCAGTCTTGGATCTTGCCCTGTGATGACAATAACATTGAATGCGACATTCAGACGGATGTGGGGTCGGCAGAAGGTGGTAGAGCGACCTGGAAGTCCCCGCCCATGGTGTGCGTCTTGCCGGAGCCGGTCTGTCCGTAGGCGAAGCAGGTCGCCATGCCGCCCTCGAAGATAGTCTGCACCAGCGGCTTGGCTGTGTATCTGTACAGTTCAAAACGAGTTAAAAACATCACTATAGCATACAATATACACTGTTCCAAATTACAAAATAACAGTTTTCGTTTTGAAATTTCTTAGACATCTATAAGTACATAAGGGCAGTTTTCCATTCAGAAACTAGACTTAAAATAAAATTTAGTCGCTTTTGTATTACAAATTGAGGAGTTAGAAATGAGGAGAATGAGAAAGTGAACGAAAGCTAAAAGTTAAATGTTGCCATGAACAATTCCACAGATAAAATATTAAAATTTGTACAGAGTAAAAAAAGAGCAACACTAACTTGTAAACAATTTCATTTGTGCAGGAATCATCAAAGGCGTAGTCGAATCGGAATTTCTGGTTTTCGAGATATTTGGTGAGGTCCACTTTGTTCTTGGGCTCGTGCACTATCATTTGGTCCTTCGTGGGCACGCTGATCACGTCCACCTGCAACACGACACACTTGCTGTCACCACCTGCAGTCTAATTAACTGACATCACAAATTATAATCTACTAACTCTTGCTCGCGACTTCATCAGCTTAAAATAAAAAATAATAAAAACATAACCTATGTTACTCACTAAAAAATGTGAAAGAATTTTTGAAATTGGACTAGCAGTTTTTGAGTTATTTTAATGCATGCAAAAATACAAATCTTTCCTCTTTATAACAGAAGTAAAGATTAATATACATAGCGCCATAAAGGTACATAGCACTATCAGTCGGTGTTTTTTTTTTTGTTTTTTCCTTTAACGATTTTTTTAGACTTTCAGTTATTTGTACATATTACTGCTTTAAAAAACAGTTGTAGTTAATGAGGCACCTCTTTCTTATTGATTTCCTTCTTGTTGAGCGGGCGCTTGCGCACGCAGACGGTGATCTGGTGGTCCTCGACGGGCTCGGAGCCCACCAGCGGCCGGAACTCGATGCTGCTCTGGTACTCGCGGATCATCGCCAGGAACTCCCAGTTCGGGTTGCCGGGGTCCATGTTCATTAGTGCCTCCTGAATATTCAGAATGATTTTTTCGACAACTCCATAAATAATATTAGAATGTGATATTGTTAACTTGAAAGGAATCATATTTTTTGTAATTAAAAGACTTAAAAGACAGGCAACGCATTTTCAGATCTTGTGGTTTTGTTAAGATCATTGGATATTTGGTCGATGAACATTAGACGATCCGCTATCCGTTTACTCCTACAAAAAAGGTAGTTCGAAGTTACTGCATTAATTCAAAGAATGGAAATATAAAGAAGGTAGTGGAAGAGTTAGTTACCTTTTCCTCTTTAAGCTCTGCTTGCCGCTGCCGTCTCTTCTCGCGGTTCTCCTTAAGGCGCTCCACCTCCTTGACGACGTTGGAGCGCCGCACCGCGCCCGAGGCCACGGCGTGCGGCACGGAGGCCGCGCTGGCCGACGCCGCCGTGTTGCGCGCAATGCCGCCCGCGCCCACACCGCCCCCGCCCCCGCCCCCGCCCCCGCTGCTGCTGAACTGTAACACCACCAACAGGGAACTAACTAAAGGTCCTAAGAATGCTGTTCAAAATGGCTGTAGATGGTTAAACCAACCATTTATGTGGGCCATAACTAGATGATGTTACAGTTTTCAGCTATTGAATATTTTAATTTTACTTGTGAGTGCTTGATGTTTACTCCCGAATTCGCTACGATTATCATGATGCGCCATAACTATGGATTATATGGACCAGGATTAAGGAAGGAAAAGACTAGGATAAGATAGGATAGGATAGGGTTATAAAGAAACCTCTTTGATGTTTTGCATGCGTTTCTGTCCCGAGTTGGGCGGGTGCTGTGCGTGGTGCGCATGGTGTGTGTGTTGCTGTGTGAGCGAGGCGGCGCTGGGCGTGCTGCCCGTGCGCGACCGCCCGCCCGACGCCGGCATCTGCAAACCGCGCGCCGTAGCAACGGGAAGGGGAGACGTGGACAAGAATAAGGATGTGATACCCTACTAACTATGTATGTATTCCATTACAAATATATAAGGTGTTCAAAGACATAGTGAATCAATATATGAATTTTATGAAAATGATCGTATGAAAAGGTTCAAATTCTTAGACTTTTTCAGCCTATGGTATATGAGTGTAGTATAGTTAGGGTCGTTCTGACCTGCTGCGTAAGTCGCGAGTTGGAGGGCGGCTGTTGCTGCGGCTGAGGGGGCGGGGGCACGTTCTCAGCGCCGCGGCGGCCCGTCGTGTCCCCACCATGCCCGTTCGTGTACGCACCCGCGTTCGACATACGCATCTGGTTGTTGCGCGTCACGCGCGCCGGCGCTGAAATACACGTACAAACTCATACAATGTGCAATACGCTATTGTACCTTGACCTTGTTTCTGTCCGAGTAACTAAGAATTCTTTCTAAATAGTCTTTTTAACTTAAAAAATTACATTCATCAAAGCTCATTACGATTACAAATCATAAGACACAGTACAAGGTTGCTTATAATACTTAATATAATATTGTTTCATCATCTGATTGCATCCTGCATTATTAAATGAAAAGATAAATATTTTGTTTATGTTTTGTTACAATGCAAATGAAAAAGTGCAAAAGCCCTATGACCCTATAATACCCAGTGCGTCAGAACAGTGTCATCAGTCTTACGTGACTCTTTCTCTTCATCCTTGGATTGAACCACTTCTGCGGGCGTTTCGACCTTTTCATAGGCATCCATGGGCCGGCATTGCGCCGCGTCGGCCACTCGTTTCCTACAGCGGAGCCACGAGCAACACATATTTGGTGATAATTTTCAAATATGGTAATATTTTTTATCATTTGCTGAGCTTCAGTTCGCGTCGTGTATTTGCGTGTTCAAATTTGGTGTACTTTCAAATTTGGCACATTAAATTGTCTCAATCGACGTGTACTCCCGTGACAGACGGATAGATGAAAATGGCGGCTGCGTGCGTTGGCGCAAGGCGATCCTGCGCCTGCGCCGGCCGCCATATTAGGATCTCTTTCTGTACTCAAGGCAATGAACCGTGACGCACGCGAGCCGCACGAAGGTGAAACCTCGCCGACTGTTCACTTGGAATGTCCTACAAGTTTATGTAAATGTTTACGATAAACAGCCACTGGTCACGGTCGTAAGAGACAAATATTTATCACTGTACGCGTTCGATCAGCGGCAGAAATTTGAAGAGGATCAAATTTCTGGTGTCGGGAGCGAGCCATGCGGAGGCGGCTGTATAACTGGAGCGCATGTGTCGCACTAGTATCGTTAGACAATTATTGGAATTGTTTGATTGCCTCGCCACATATGTACATACATATACTCCGATACAGACGATTGTACGATTTGACGATTGACGAGACGTTTGTAAAGCTTAATAAAAAATTCTACATGTAAGAAATGCTCGGAAACCCTAAGATACGTGGAAACAAACCACTTTTGAGCAGAACATATTCAGGCTTTATAACTTAAGTATAACCGAAAAACTATTAGACAGATTTTAATTTTCCGAAAACTGGACAACTGAAATAACGAAATAAACATGAGGACGAAATCAGAACTTTCTCCTTTTTGAAGTCTGTTAAACATTATATTTCAGTGGGGCAGTAATTCTATCATTTTAATCAAATTCTGTACGATCGATGTCCAGTACACGATTAGTTCATCAACTATAACCCAACAAAGTCAACAGCCGGTGTCTTTTGTTCCGATGAAAAATGTATGATGTGACGTCACTGGTACCGCTGCCGGGTCGATAGTGACCGTCCTGTACATCAGGCCTATCTTGGTACTGACCACTGAATATTACATTATGCTGCCTTCATAACAGCCACACAAAAAATAACAAAGGTTATCGCGTGTTTACACGGAAACTAGTTTTCACAGACAATAGAAATAATTTTCTACAAGTGTCAATTAAGGAAATATCCTTTTACAGAGTTCTGATTTCTTGGATTGTTTCTTGGTAAAACACATGCCAGTAAAACGGTAAAGTAACTGGCATGTCATCCATTGGTATGTATCAGTTAATGGCACAATGCGTTCTAACATGCCAGTGTCAACTAGATCGTTTGTAACCAGACAGACAGATGCCACGTACTGGCCAGTTACTTCCCAGTTTAAAGGTTATAATTACCTATAGCAAAAAACAAAATGTATCTTCCACTGTTCTAGTAAATTATCTGTTGACCTTGAAACGTTGGTGCAGTAGAGTCAGAACAAAGCTGTGATAGACATCTCGACGACATTAACGTTGACTAGCTTTGCACGGGACTAGTAAATCGCCCCACATATTAACCCTTTACCATACATTTACTGAAACTGAAACATTTTTATTTCAATTTCCAAGAAATGCTTTAGTTTAAAACGGAAAGCAAAGTGGAGTTTAAGGACATAACTTTTTTTAAAATTCTATTATAAATATTGACAATAGTAGATACTGGCGTAACTTTTATTATGCGTCGTGACCATAATAATTGTAGAGGACAGCCAAATCATCCACATCGATCTGTGCAATGTTCTCACGACCTGTGCGGGACAGAGATCGCTCTGCTTCGTGCTCTATGAGTTTAAAAAGATAACGACCGTTAATTGTAACAGCTATATCAGAGGTAAAGAGAATTCAATTTGTTAGATTCATGCGTAATGTAAATTTGTCAATTTTAATTACGTTCGAATCTAATCGAATCTTAGTTTATCAAGCATCTGTTTTAAGCTAATCCAGAGGAACTACAGATGCGTTGCCGGCTTTTAAAAAAATGGTAGGCTCGCTTCTTTTTCTATTTTTATCAACAGCAGTGATAATCTTAATAATATACAGAAGCTACTAACTTCATGTCAAGAAAAATATTCGTTGTTATTGAAAGATCTGAGAAATTATACAAAAGACAATAAGCAGAGTACATTCGTCTAGTTCATCTTATTAATGTCTCGTTCATTTGTTTTATGTAAACAGTTCCGTGTGGCAAGTAAGACGGTCATTCGCCGGCGCCCACTCGCCTTTGATTCATAGTGCGTTGTACTGCTTACCACTAAACGGAGGGTCACAATAAGACACCGTATACAATACCCATGTGGGTTGATTGCTCCTAATTGTGACTGTTGAATTTATCAAATTTGTACAAGATATTCCAAATAACATGTTTAAAATTGGTTCAATCCAACTCAATGACAGACTTAATATTCGGTAGACATCTTTGATTATATGCGAGAGAAATACAATAATTTAACAGAAAAGGCTTGACATATCGCAAAAATACATATATGAAGTTATCATTCGAAATAAAGGGCAACTTTGTCTGTAGGACCAAATTTGGATAACGCGAAACTCGAAGCATTGTTCAACCGCAAGGCAATCTAGTTGCTTTTAAGGAATAAACCTTTCCAGTCGCAGGCATTTCGACATTTCGAAATTACACTTTCCAGGCTGTGAAGTCTATACGCTACACTCCAGCGGAAAGTCCTGAATGACTGGACACAGGAAAATCGAATCAAACACAAGCACTATAGAGTTCAAATTGATATGGAAGTGGAAGTATGCACTTACTAGCGCTTGTCGCGTGCCGTTGCAAATGCTTTTGAATGCATCTCTCGTATAACACAGGCATGTTCGAATTTTAAAAATCAACAATAGGAAAGGTAATCTACGGTAAAACCACCGCACTATTCCGTGTGTTCCATTTGCGATTCGGGGCGGCGGTGCCAGGCGGCGGTGTGGTGCGCGGCCGTCCGCTCACTGTCCGCGAGCGCCCCGTCTGCCGGCACTTATACGCGATGTTACCACCATTGTGCCAGGCAAGGAAGCATGGCAGAATGGCAGGGTGGCAGCGACTGACCACCCCCATGATATCAACGCCGAAATGCTCCGTCATGCTATCGCTTTTAATTATTAATGGAAAAAATGCCATAACGTATGCACGGGGGAATACACGCCACACGAAAGGAAGACCGTGGTATCCGGCGGGTGGTGGTGCAAGCAATAGCAAAGGTCGTTCTATAAATATAATTTCCACCTATGATACTTATCTATATTTTTAAGGTCAGCAATTTTTGAGAGAAGAATTGCCTTTAGTTTAAAAAACTCTACAATTTCAGACAATAAAGTCTTGAAGTTCCCTGACAATCTTTTGTTAATCAGATTCCTTTAAAATAACACTGATGTATAGGTTTATGAAATCTAGATTATGATAAATTGTTTCTGCCTTTGGTCACTGGTCAATTGAGTACTTTTGGTATTTTTGGCTACATAGGCAAACCCTCAATGACAAACTAACACCTAATGAACTTGTGATTTAATAATGATGTAATACACGAACACCCTGCTACGTCGACATAATGTAGGCTAGCACGACACCAATATTTATATCTCATTATGGTCGAGACGACTAACTACACAAGTGTTACAACTTTACAGATTAAAGGCCGTACTAAATATAGAAACTTGAATATTAAACTTGTAACTTGAAAATTACTATAAATGATAGTGGATAAAACAAAGAGGGGATTTTTTTGGAATATTTCACATAGTGAATAATGAAAACTGTCTATCGACTTAAATAAATACATTACATTTAAAACAAACATATATCGTAGAAAAGTTCAATGTTTCTTTAATGTACACGTGGTCTCTAAAGTGGGTGGCGATAATGAATAGATGTCTACGAGGAGGCGCAACGCCGCGATAACAGACTGCAAATTGTGCAAATTCCCGCGCAAACAACACGGACTTCACAGATCATCATTGATTATGATAGTTTAGTTGCTGAAGAATATACGTTTAGATCGTAATTGACAAAAAAGTAATGCTTATACATTTTACAATATTATACATTGGTTATCAACAAATTATTTATGATAAACATGTGTCTATTTAGGTTATCAAACAGAAATGTAAACAGCCCCAACTTCAATAATAGGTCAAGCATGTTAATATTCCAAAATGTATTAACGGATACTTGATCTTGGTAACTTGAGCATGCCGATGTTTGATTACTACGGTAACAAAGTCTAGTAAAAATTCAATCATTAATTCGTATTGAATGCAATCTGACCTAACGCACTAGAGCGGGAGCCAACTCTGATGACAACGAACGTTGAGAGGTTATTATAACGATCTTTATCTGTTTTTCATTTACTTTTTAATTAATTGAAGTTCAAAGTGAGTGATCCGTAGTCAGTAAACTATATAAAATAAAGTGTTAAAAGTGACAGGATAAAATCACAATTATAAGTGCCTAATTTATTACGTAGTAATTACGCGAATCAAATGCCTGTTGAGCTAATTTCATTACTTTATAAAAGAAAAATGGGAACTATTCCCTTACTAGAGTCAGTGGTATTATTATTGGTCAGTGGGCACAAAGTGACAAAGCGCACAATCGCCGAGGTAGGGGCAGGCCGCGTCCTTGCCCGGGCAATGTCAAGACCACATTACGCGGTGCACGGGCAACCTCTGCCCCATTGTGTCTATGTTCACAGATTGTCAAGTGGCATTAACATTCTGAATAATTTGATGATACTGTAACGAGTCATACTAGAATTACAATAATTAAATAGCTTCTGGATTTTAACCATCTCAAATAAAAATGTCATAAACAGCCTCAAAATAGGGTTGTAATTTGTCAGTTTCTTAACCCAATATCAATAAAGTCCTGTATACATTTCATCTATTTTATCAAATGTGTCAAAATTCTTTTTTTAAACTGATGATAATATATCTACCTAAAGCATTGAGGTAATTTAATTCCCAAATCGCCAGCGGGTAAATGCTGATAGATGGATGAGTTAATTGAGCCAAATGGGTCAGTTGGCGTTGCCAATGCATCGAGCGGTCGTCATGCGGCAGGAACTAATAGAGTCTCACGGACCCTGACATATATCTTAAATGTTTGCAATCTATTAGTTGCGAAATAATCTTACTAATATTATAAATGCGAAAGTTTGTATGGATGTTTGTTAGAGTCTGTAATTTTGGATAGATGTAGAAGATAGTCTGGAACACATCGGCTACTTACTTTTTTTTTAATTCCATGCGGACGGAGTAGAGGGCGAAAGCTAGTAATTAGATTATCATAAAAGATTAATTTAGCATAATTATTAAAGTTGTATATGAATTACTTTTTCGCGTTTCTTCAAAGATCAATTTTGGTGTAATTTAATTAAAAGAAATAAAGGCAAGGGTTGTACCTTAAAAATGCTAACATAAATTAACGTCAAAATATTTCTTTGACCCCAATATTAGTTAATATTTGAGTCGCGAATTTAGTGTGCTCTATTTCCGTAAAGTTTATCGAACGGTGAATACTTTTTTCAGCCATAATAAAACGAGTTGTAAGAATAAAAAAAATTTAAAACGACCAATATTTTAATATAAACAATTTAACATGTTATACCGTTACAATAAAGTCTGAATAAAATTTTAAGCAAGTATAAATAAAAATCGTTATCAATTAATACAAACAGGAATCCACTTGTTCACTGCTGACCCGAGACCGATGACACCCCTCCCCAACCTCTTCCCTCACGTCACAAACACGTGCGATTCTCTCGACACACCTCCTTATCTAACATTAAATATACGAAAAGGATGCCGATAGAACTAGTTTCAATGATTCATCTATCAATTTTTGCCAATACATATTTATAAAAAAGTCTCTATTTACTTGTAATCATCTAAAAATACCTCTTACATTATCAATAAAATTTAAATTAAATTACATACTCAAGTCTATTGGATACATAGTGACATCCCATTTATTCTTTAAAAAGATACAATAGTTGTTTTTTTGTGTTTGTTAAGCTAGAGCTTGACCACGATCCCACCTGATGAAAGTGATGATGCAGTCAAAATATATTACGCGCTAGCCTAATCAATAGCAGTCTTCTATTGGTAGTATGGTTGAACATAGGAGATTTTAGCAGAAGACACTGACGGTAATACAGTACGTTGAGTGACCGCATAACATTTGCAGGTTCACGCGACCCATACTGAACTCCGACTTATTGTAGTCAAGCATTTATTGCAATAAGGTCAGAAATTTTACCCCATGTATAGTTTATTCAAAAAACAACATATACCCAGAAGTCAACTAAAATATTTATTTAAACAGGAAAAGTTCACATCAAAACGCTAATTGTGACGACCAAGACTTAAAATAACGTGAATGTGTCATAACGTCTTGCCGCATTTCCATACTCAAAACTTTAAACAAAGACAATTCCCGTCACGCACCAAAATTAAAAACCGACAACAAAGAGTCATAACTTAGAGTTTAGATATGGAGCTAACAGCCACATGCAGACATTAAGTGGCACTAGTCTCCTTAGACTTAATCTACACTTAAGTACTCCCAAACTAAGTATATTAACCACTCTGAGTACAGTACACTTTTACCTACACATTGAAAATCACAAGTTGCTTAATATATAATGTATATGTACACACTTGTTGATCGTGGGAACGCAATCTTTGATGCGTGCAGCGGGCTTCGACCCCGGACTTATTCTAACAAAATCGCAATTATTAAAATTATGTAAGACATGTAAAGCCCGCTGCATACGCTCAGTACAAACTGCCAAATTTAACTAAACTATCGAAATGTTGGGCTAAAACTGAACGTCATATACAAATACATATTGTTTGTTTCTGAAGTGGGTATTATCTATCTTGTATGTCTGAGTGAAAATATATTTATATCATCTGGCGGAAGACACATATTTGTTCTCTTTGTCATAGACAAATTTTCATCAACATTTTTTCAAACAGAATGAATGCGTCATTATTTTAAAAATTAAAAATAATCTTCGTCACATTTAACTCTCTGATCTAATTGTAATAATCAATACAATAAAATAATAGAAAACATTTCTGTGAACATCCGTCTATGATTATTCATGGAGGATATTTTTTCATCTGGATTATTCAGCGACGAGTTCCTTTTTATTAAGTTTACTTGTACATTACATTCACTCCCCATACTAACCAATTGCGTACCAAATTATCATATTCAACGTATATTTTTGATTATAACAAGCTTCCAAGAAAGCAAAAGAGACATGGAATATCTAAAAATTACGTCTCCTTCGAATTACCTTCATTATTCAACAATGCATAAATGTCAGATGACGAAACAATATAAATATTTGATAAAAGTGAACAATTTATTATCATAGAAATTTATAATACATCGTGTTACATACATACCTTTTGTCGCAACTGGAATTGACTGTCGCGTCATATCCTAAAACAGGAAAAGAATTAATTAGCACAAATCTTCGAAAGATTGGAGTCGAAAGAAGTTACAAAAAGCCAAACATTCCAAACAAAAAAGAAGATAATTTGAAATTAAAAATTTACAGCTATTTCTTCGCTAATGTGCAACCCAAAATAATAGAAAACATAGTATCAAACGTTAAATGTACAAACGCTAATATAAAAGGGGGCAGTATAGTACAGCAAAGAAAATGTGTAGCATTAGATATAGGCAGACCGGCAGATTACAAACACCCGCATCGTGGGAAACGACGGTTTGCGAAAACAAAAGCAAAATACTGTAAAACTGTAAGTTATGCGGGATTGATTAATGTTTTAGAAATTCAGACTAACACTGGCATGTAATAAAAACAATGATTTTTTAAATGTCGATGACCAAGTTTTAATTAGAGGAAAGTTTTGCGAATACCACTCTTCTTACGAAAAACTTAACATTGGAATGGCTCTATTGCGCATAACAACTACCATACAGTTTTAGAAGGCACACTAAGATACCTTCATAACCTACGTAGAAACTGTCGGAATACACTTTATTAAGCGTAACGAAATAGATTATAATTAATTACATGGTGCCTGCAACTGGCTGATCTAATTCTAACCAATCAGCAGAAAAGAGGTCGCTCATGTGGAGCAATTTACTAAAATCTGGTACGAATTCCTGATGCGCGAAATCATTACTAATATTACCGACGTACTAACAAACTTCAGGGAATTATATTGCAATGAAAATACGCCAGAAAATATTTACAATATAGTTAGAATACTCACAATTCATAGAATCAGTAAAATAGTTAATGTTTTTGGTAATAATTGGGGAAAAATTTGGTTATTTCCCGAACACACCAGCTTTTCTTTTGTTTTCTGGTTCTGAAGCCAATAAAATCCGTCCTAGGACATTTTTAGACCCATATTTGGAGGTCACAATGACTGCATACCTGTTTTATAACCACCCCGCGAACCATAAGTCTTAGATTAGATCACGGTGCACTAGGGTGTGATGGGGTAAGATAAGAACTATAAAGTAGGTCGGCAGGCGAGGCGGGATGACGTCATTTCCTTGGAGTTCATCGTTGCCTGTGCAAAATGGATTAGCACTTGCGGACCTAGCCATGAAAGTTAAATTAAAAGACACCTTATTGGATCGTTTACAATGGACATCGTAAATGTACTTTAGTTAACAACATAGGGAATATTGCTTAGTTCATTTAAGGACAAATAACAAAACCGACTCTTGAGGTTTTGCAGAGACAACTCAATACTAAATACTATTTTATTTTGTTTCTCAACAATTTTTTTTCCTACTAAAGGTACAGGGAATCTGTATAAAATAAATGTATATGACTTTCCTATTGCAAGGAACGTCTTTAAGGCGTCCCCCTTGTCTTTATTCGGATAAATGACTTGAGTCGGGTAACGAACAATTTCTCTCTAAATTACAACGCTTAATAAGATCGGGGGCTATTAAACGAAGTAGATTGCGAAGCTGGATAATTGAAGGATTCATCACAACTTAATGCAGTAAAACCCACTTTGGTAGAACGTACAATATTTCTTTTGTAAATATAACAGTTGTACCAACATAAACACTAATTTAACTGTACAACATATGGATACAGAATGCATTGTTGTAGAAAACGTGCGATCGACAGGAAATCAATAACGATGTATGAATGCGCGGATACAGGCGTGTTACCGCGAGGGCATGCCACACCGCCACGCCGCAGCTCCGATAGCCGTGCGAAATGCACGTGTGAACATACCCCATAGTGTATATAAACATACATACGTAAAGCATAACATTAGTAAACCGAGTCATATCGCATCCGAGATCAATTAGTCATAACTGAACCAAAACAAACATTGAGCCAGAATTGTACGGATGTTAGCAAAATAACAATAGTCCTGTCAGAACAACTACACATTTAAAATCACTATGACCAATATCAAGATTAATGTAAGACAGTACTATCAAATCTACAACCGAAATAATTGCTGCGTGAAGGTCTTCTCTTCGACCTACACGGTTATTTTACCTCGTGCTGCAAAACAGCTTCCCTTACAGTTAAAATTAAATAAAGACGTATCTAGAGGTCGTGTGTAATTACACAGGCAGGCAAAACATTCACTCAACATTAATTCGCCTATGTTATTGCCAGTAACAGGTTTTCACATTATACACATTAAAACACAGCCGGCGGTCGAACTTGTGTTTTTTGCAATAATTCCGTTATGCGCGACATTGACAGCACCGTATCGGCGCGACAAGTTGAATCATAAACCTAATGATATCATCGCCTACGACTGTGGACATAAACAAACTGTACAAAATTAGCACAGTCGTTTCATACACTTTTATAACCAAAATAAGAAAAAGCCAAGTAAACACAAACAAAATAACAAAAAGTGCTTTACATTGCTACTGCTACGTAACAAAAAGACTGGTGATATTGGATTGCGTTCCGGTTGCGCCACGCGGCGGCACGACGAATCGTGATATTGACGCGGGCGTGACGAGAACGCAAGCCGACAGACAGACAGCGTAACAAGCCGATCGTGAGCACAAAAATATGGTGCGGCAACGTAATGGTAAAGGTGCGTGATATAGTGGATGGTGCGTTTCCATTGGCCGCGCCCTAGTGACACCGCACGTGATGACGTGTGCGGCGTGCATGGGGCGCGGCGTGGCGAAGTCGTACCGAGCGTGAGTTGCGCACGGGCAGCGTGTGTCCGGCGTCGCCGTCCGCCTCCGCGCCCTCCCGCAGGAAGCCGCCCTCATCCGACGACGAGCCCGACGGCTCCTTCGCATCAACAACGTGCATCAAACAACAGTGCCACTTACAGCTCGGTGCCGCGGAGCGCCGCTACCATGCCGCGGACCGATCTCAGTACGAATGAAAAGTGAAACGCGCAACTACCGGCCGCCGTGGAAAATCGATGGTGTCCGACGTAAGGTCACCATCATCGCCGCACCTGAAGGTCTCACCGATCGATGTGCATCGAGTGCATACGTATGCATGTCCATCTCTAGTTCTCTAATGCCCGCAGCGCTCCATCTAATGAGTGGCGTGAGATGCGTTGCCATGACAACGATGTGCACGTTAAAATGCTACTCGCAAAGCTATGATTACTACACGGTGCAATGATCACCTGCCAATTGATGATGTACGGAAACATTTTCTACATTTTTTTTAACTGCCACGTGTCCAATACCAATCCTGCACTCGGTATCTTCCACGGGATGATAATAACCGGTAACACAATAAGCGTTTGACGCAATCTAAGTATTTTCTAAAGTCATTTTTGTTAGCACTAGTATAATTATGTATTTTTCGATATTGTGAAAAGCTATGAGATCCAGACAGGACATTCGGGTGTCACAGATGAGGTACAACTGTGGTGTCGATTGGCAACGTGCTTCCCGACACAAACAAACAGGGCCATCACTGCTTGGTACGCGGTTCAACCACCGCCTGACTCAATCGATACACTATGGCTTCCATTTAATTTTGACGCCAAACTAATGTACGCAAATTACAATCGTTATCACTAAATACATAGATAAGATACACTCTCTTACTAATAAGTGAATCGACCTTTATATGTACTCCAGTATCAGTTAGACGTCATACTTTGAATCTACACTACAATAAAATCGCATTCAACTCTTTGGACTCATGAATATTTTAAAAAAGAATGCCACGGGCAATACAAACTAATTTATAATAACATATACAATGTCTACTTTTACACTTATTCGAACATAGATTTTATCGTTCTTTTTAAATTATTAATTTGCAATCATTTATCGACAACTAGATTAGTATTTTAGTATACAGTACGTAGAGAAAATGTGAAGCAGTTCAACTTTGCGGACAAACGAATCACAACTGCAGACTTTCTAGAGTGCGACCTTTAGCGACGGCCCGCGGTCTGTGTGGTGCACCGCGAGAATTTATTGCATTTAATTTTCTAAGACTAAGCCGACAGGGATTGCGGCATATGAACACCAAGGTTACGCGGAATTAATTCGTACGTTATAGTTTGCACGAATTGTGTCGCAAAGATATTATGCAATGTAATTAACAGATTAGACCAGGAGTTTTTAAACTAGTCTACTACTCCACATCTTTAAGGCTTAATTTCTTTTCATATATTTACGTATCTCATTATTTTGTATACTGAAAAAAATGTATCTAACATACTGTATTTTCTTATAAATATAATTTTTGACCGACTTCCCAAAAGAAGGAGGTACTCAATTCGTCTGTATGTTTTTTTTGTTAATACATTTCCCTTGCACCAAATCTCTATAACGAGAAGCGAGTGTATCAAAGCGTGTTAACACGTAATGTGAGCGATGCGATTTTGGGATATGTTTGGCGGACGTTTATGCGGCGGCCGACGTGTTAATAACGGTACGAGGCAGGCGTACGTGTGCATGTCCGGACGTAAATTGGCAAATTGTCTTACTACAAGCAAGCAAGCGCGCGTCGTGTCCATTGACCCTGGTCGAAATAGACCAACGGCCGTTATCGCGAATGTCGGATTTCGCCAAGTTACCTACTAATTTTTGTTTTAATAATATTAGAAAACACATACACAAGATTTTAACCAAAAGACTTTTATACTAGTCAAACCTACGAGCACGAGTGAAAATTCATACATTATTGACTTTAGAAAATTATAACAAACATTTCCTTGATTGGGATTCGAACCCTAGTCGTGACTTAAATTGCAGTAAGTGTAGGTGAATTAATTAATGCACAATTCTAATTTTATAATGCTTAAACGGATAGCATCGTTATCTGCCCACGTGTAACATTAAAGTATGGCCGGCAGTGATGTACGAATTACTAATGAAATAAATTTTACTTATCCCTTGCCCGGGAATGCGGTACTAATTTTTTTAATCTAGATTTCACATTTTATCAAAATGTTACTTAAATAATTCTATTCCTTTTATCATTCTGTCTTTCTCCCGCGTTGTCTTCGTAGTAGTGTTAGGCGTACTCACCCTGGCCAGTTTGTTGGGCGCATTGGAGACAGGCTGTAGGTGCGGCGAGCGGCGCGTGCCGATCAGTTCGGGGTTTAGGGCAAGGATGGAGTCGATCTCCACCTCCTTGCCCTTGGTCTCCCCGCGCTCGAACCATTCCACCGTCACCGAGCGCGTCTCTGCGTTAACACCAGACACGATTGCCGAGTGGATGCGTCCTGAAATTATACAATATGTTTTTATGAAGGTGACACAATATGAAAGACGAATTAGAAACCTTAGCACTAACGTTAGGTACGATTATGCGAAGCCTATTTTCAGTGTTAATTGCGACAAAATAAGTGTTTTCTATCATCAGTAATCTACTAAAGAATCCTCTATAAGCAAATGGATTTGAAGGACACATAAGAAAGAGTAGTACCGACTTTCGGTTATAATATTAATAAAATTGTGAGTTTTAATTACATATTTCGTAAAACAAAGTTCTCTTTACTTATACAGATAAGAACAGTTGTATTTCTACAGCTGGTTAAGATACTATTTATTTAATAACAATATCTCATATCGTCGTTACAGTCTTTAATTCAACACATTACACATATTATTTATTCAATAAGTACATAACGTCAAATAATTCACTTCCATAATTTATATCAAGAGCCAATGAATGGTTACATTGTATAGTTAAATAGACGTTGTAATATTCGAATATAGAGGTCGTAACAGACATATCTTTGTGCTAGTTTACAATCTGATATTACATATTCACACGTCAAATGAAAATGCACAGTATTAGTAAATTAGGCCAAGGCATGATGGTCCCTGGTCATTACAATCTATCATACAAATCATACTAATATTATAAATGCGAAAGTTTAGATAGATGGATGGATGTTTGTTAGAGTTTCTAGTCTAAACCAATAAACGGATTTCGATGAACTTTGGAATAGATGTTAGAGGATTCTGAAATAACATACTGGCTACTCATTTTTGTTTTAATTCCACGCGGACGGAGTCGCCAGTCGAAAGCTAGACATAGATAAATTATTGAATTACGAATGTTCTAAAACGCATCAAAATTATTTCTGACAGAAGTGTCGAAACGCAATGTTTTAAATATCTTGCTCGATAACTACTCATTGTGTATCAAAAAGTTATCAAATAGCTGGAAAATTTCTCCCGTTTGACTTCATTATTATTGCACTTAGCAACACACCAAACATAAACCATGTCTAGTCTGGGTCACGTAAATTTAATTCAGTAACAAGCGGAGTTTGCTACGCCACAAAGTGTTGTTGCGGGCTCGGGCTAACAAGACACCCCGCAGCACGCCGGCTGTCACGTGCTCCAATTTGCATACTAGAATGCTTTATGCAAAAGGACAATGAGGACGCCTTATCCCTTCGCTGTAATTATAAACCTCGTCTAGACATATAAGACATTAAATTCAATTAGTCATTGTATAATAGACTTATTTTAAAGAAGATAGTATAGCTTAATTAATATGTCTCGCGTAAATAACATTAATTTTAATAAAGAAGACGCAAGTATTTAAATATGTTATATTCGATGATCAAAACTTTCTTAATCCAAATTAAAATATACCTTACTTATATCTGAACAGAATCGAAAGGTATCAAATTTTCTATCAAATAAATCCATATCATCTTGTTATAAAATAAAATTTTAGTAAAAAGGGTCGGTTTCCCTCCAAGTACGACTAGTTCAGTGTGAAATGTAAAGGCGGCCATTAGTGATCAAACAGGCAAACATTTCTGTAAAAGGCACTCAAAGGGTTTGCGCCGCGAGCCCTGTTTTCCTGTTTAGCTTTCCTTTTTCGCTTTGACAGCAACTGCTGTAAGAGCACTCCACATCTGTGCCTATGACACAAAATACAAACCTTTTTAAAGCAAAGGGTAGGTAGGGTTGACATTAAACAACATTGCACTATTAGTATTGTTTGAATGATTGTTGTATTTATAAAAAATATTTTTATAATAAATACTATCCCTAAAAATACACACTTCATTACACAAGGTCACTGACCTTCAACAACCGAACTATTGCCGGTTTTGTCTACCCGTTTATAACGAGGGGAGGCATAGCGGGTATCATGGCGTAGACACGACTCCTATTAACAGGTCAACAGATCTACAACGTGTAAACAATCCCGCCGCAACGACCGTGTATTGTAAACAACTTTGTCTGGCAAATGTTTACTAATCCGAAAGATACATGGGTGCGATCTTAATCATAGCGTAGCTGATTACGAAAAAAAACATAAAAAAGTTGCAAAGATCACACCTTTTTGTGCCTACACAAAAACCGTAACGGTTTGAGTTAGAGTTCACTTTTACTACAGTGTTAAATTTTAACTAGATTTTCCTTCCTGTGTTAATCTAAAAACCTGTTCGTATACTCATAACACAGCATAATACATGTACAATTTGTCAAATAGGCATCAATTCGAACGAGTCATGTCCTCATTTTGAAGGCGCACAACAAAAACCTAATCCGTACAATAGATTTTAGCGACAGACAAAAAAAAAACACCAAAACCGTGTAGACGTTAGGCGACTTATTGATCAAACAACGATACAGCCATGGTTACGTCTGAAGGCGACGAAAGTGGAACGAAGTGATCGAATGTAGTAAGCAAAAACGCCGTTATCTGTGACGACGACTTCGACGGGTTGAAACGTTCACAGTTAAAGATGAAAGTGCTTGAGATGTAGACAGGTTACTTACTAATAAAAATCGCCTAAAGTCTAAAAGATCGGTGGATTAAATGGAACAGAGTTTTGAATAAAGGAGAATACAAGGAGGTTCGCAAGGAATTAAAACCCTCACACATCAACAACTACATAAGAATCATCTTTAATCCATCATACAAAATTTGCAACTAATTGTTGAAAATGTTAAAAAACTTCATAATTGCATTGAAAGATGTCCCAAGATTCCGCGAATCCTCCAACAAAAACTAATCCACAAGGATTCCCAAGAGGGAATGTCGTCTTTAACTAGCGTTAATTACTGGAACCGCTACACCGATCTAAATACCCTGAGATTCTAGGAAATATAGCTTAGAATAACCAAGTAAATGAGTCTACCAATATTTTTTTCGCAATCGTGACCCAGTCGTCACACTCATTGACTTCAAGATCGGAATTTGAATTCTAAACCAAAACAAATGATTACGCAACATACAAAACTTTGCGTTCAAATTAGCAATCATGGAATTTTACTCAAAAATCAAAGAATGTCTTTTTTTGCAAAAGACCTCAAGCATCCTTTCAAATATCAAGTATCTAATTCTATAGCTTTTACATAAAACCGCAAAATGTAATGAAATCGTCGGAATAGAAATTAATCAATCAATAGAAAGTTTGCCGAGAAACGATACTAACAATACAATACATTCAACTATATATTTAAAGTAATATTTAAGAAAAGGCTTTAAATAAAGCGAAAGTATCGCGACAAAAAGATTAACATCTAAAAAACTAACAAAGGAGACAAAAAACAAATAATGAAACATCAGTATGTAACAAAAAATATAGAATTAAAGAAAAAGCAGACTCCATTTATAAAGCCGGCTGCATACGCTCAATTTTATCTGCGCAATCCGATCGTTCAGATAAATATAACAAAACTGTTAACTGTTCAGCTTAATTCAGCAGATGTGCAGCAGATTTATCTGAACGATCCGAATGTTGAGACAAAACTGAGTGTGTATCGGGCTTTAATCTCGCAGTTGGATGGTCAACTAACTACTACATTTTATCAATTGAAATATGGCATATAAGTTCATTGATGGAAACGCATGTTACAAGAAGAACGTTAGTTATGAATGTGGAAGGGTTCATCGGTAGAGGTAGACTTAGAAAGATGGATAGATTGCGTAATAGGTGACATGATCAAAAAGGGTGTGATGATGTTGACTGAGATGACGTATGATAAGAGTTATGTGGAAGACAAAAACCTGCTGCGCCAACCCTACGGGAGTAGGATAAAGAGAAAGATGACGATGATTATTAATTAGAAGATCAGATCCTGTATTCCAATTATGTAATTCTTAAAACTATAATACTAAATCTGTGTGCAAACTTACAACTAGAATTTTCGAACTACAAGCACATCATTAGTGATAATAGTACACGTGTAATTCAATACAGTTGAGCGAACGTCAGTTAAGAGCCGTTTAATTATTTTGTTAATGAGGTGTCGACTCTCAGTAACGTGAGCTCACGAACAGTTTACTCTATTGTTAGTGCTTGCATAGAAAGTTTAATGTTTCGTTTTATACAATTACACTTTTCCTACCTACATTTTTTTAATAAGTTACTTATATCGAGTATGTTACGTTTATCCTAGCAACCTAGTCCAGGATTTAATGGAAATCCCTAACCACGACTTCTAATAAAACATTCTACTTAAGATGTATATGAAATTACTTGCAGTTCCCTCTTAGCTTGTATAGAAAATGTATTTCAAATATCATGTCCGAAAGGAACCGAACTGAGCTGTTAAAACTATTGTATACAGAGAAAAGCAAACAATCATAAACATCCAGTTCCTGAAGATCTTCAGAGCAGCATATCCGTGTACAGCTGAGATGGCATTTAAAAGTTCAAACTATATCAGTCGGAGAATTCGGCCGACCGATGTCATTGACCTGCTAACGCGTCGCATAGAGCTAATTATAATTGGACAGTTCCTTGGCGCGCGTCGCCAACTGCCTCCTAAAAATTTAGAAAATGTCTATTATCTATATCTCTTTATAAAGCCTTCTGCAATACAGATCTACTTTAATCTTCAAATAATTTTACCCAGTAGAATTAAATAGATACAGTTAACAAATTCTAATAATCAAAGAGCCTGTATCTACCTGATTATATAGTGTTAGGAAAAGACAAGCGGAAAGAAAAACGCACAACGAAAATGGTCTTATTATAGAGTAAATAGATTTGATCTGGTAGTAAAAGTAAAAGAAAGGCGCGTTGAGTTCCCACGGTCAAGTTGCCGACGCCAGCGCCGCCTGGTGTACACTTAACTTAATAACATGGTAGGGAGACGTCAGGTAATGGGCTATTTATTACATGCGATATCTTATTGTTCTTCGCTTTTCTTACTTATGAAAATTAAGCTATGAAAGTTAATTGCCGCTCTCAAGATTAAATGACCACTTAGGTATCAATTAATGACTTTACGTGCAATA